GCCCTTCAACGAGCCCCTATGCGTTGCAGGGAGGGAATGCTTCAACGGAACCTTTACATGAACCCTTGTAATGGAAAGATAGCCCCCAAACCCTAAACCCCCTAAGCACCTCAACCTCAAACGTTCAACTCTAAACTCCCTTTAATTGGCAAGCCTGGTGGTGCTCTGGTAGTTGGAAGCGCGGAAGCGCCGGCGGACTTCCTTGTCATCCAGCACCGTGACCTATTGGCTTCAAAGGCTGGAGTCTTGCTAAGGGATTTGATCTAAGTTACCAGGGTTTAGGGTTTAGGGTTTCTTGTTAAGAGATTTAATTTAAGTTACTATAATAAAGAAACCATATTATTTACAATAGTTCCCTATTATGGTAACTTAAAATTAAACTCCTAAACACGAACCCAGAAGGGGGCTTTTAAAGTTGTCGTCGGACGATCCAGTGCGTAAGGTTTGGGGTTCCGGATTTTGGCTTTAGGGTTTAAGGCTCGAGGGCTTTGCGTTTTGGGTTGTGGGCTTAGGGCTCCAGGTATTTAGGGTTTAGGGTTTAGGGCTCCAGGTATTTAGGGTTCAGGGTTCAGGGTTTAGAGTTTAGTAGGTTTGTACTGTTTGCAGTGTCGAGTTCATGGAATCGCGATGTAAAGTTTGAAAGGGTAGGGCCGCGACCTGCTATATCTATGCCGAGAAGCACTAGGTTGGTCTTTCGTTTGGGGGACACCAGCACCATGACCTCTAGCATTGGGATTACGCGGCTCTGACTCAGAACCTGGGCAAGCCTTATCTCAATATGAACGCGACGTGCTGTACTCATACAATCGCTTATGGAAGTGTGGCGAGCTCCCTGGTCGCATCTGGATAAGCAGGATTCTTGGCTCGAAAATTCCGGGGTTTGTGGTGAGAGGTTTAGGGTTATCTAGGGATCATGATTTAGAGTTACTTTGGATTTAAGATTTAGCGTTTCTTTGGGACTAGGGCTTAAGATTTAAGGTTTTTGGTGGTTTATGGGCGACGGTTGAGCATTCGGGCTTTCCGTAAAATGCAGGATAATGGATGTATCTCGGGTTTGGGCAACCTCCGATCACAAATCGCTTCCGGATTTGATTAAACACCCCCCTAATAATTAAAAACCACATTGGGGCGAATCCTCCCGAAATCATCCCTGTCCCTGAAAAACCTAATCTGAATTGAGGGGGAGGGTTTGGAGGCTCCAAATACCCTTGGAGCACAGTAAGAGCTTGCCAGTCGACCTGCGTATGCGGGTGCATGAGATTGTCCATACAACCCTACCTGCGCCCTAAAAAACCGAATTAAAGCCCTACACCCGAAAACCAAAAAGCTTACACCCTGAATCCCCCCATACCCAAAATAATCCTTGAGGGCACCTTCAAAGTAGCCTCAAGCCCACATGCCACACAGCCTTGCAATGACCCCGAAGCCAGGCTCCCCACGGTTTAGACTTTAGGGTTTTAATCTTAGTTTCTGAGTTCATAAGCCAAAAAAGTGTACACTTTCTGTTTTATAGAGGGATTCTATTACCCCAAAAAGTAGTGTCTCCATTGTACTCCTTTTTTCTGGCGTAGCCAGTTTTATATTAAGGAACCTAAAAGGTATCCCCAAAAAGGAACCTACAGTGGAGACTATAGGTAGGGTTTCACGAGATCAACAGCAACAGGGTAAGGACAGCTCAGGAATCTGTGAACACCTAGATGGTGTTTGAGACTTAATTCTGTTGATGACATACATCCTGCACGACCTTAAGGACCCTAAACTATAGGAATTACGGTATATTCCTTATTCTGGGTAATGCAGGATTAATATCATCAACCGCAGTCTTTCATTCTCCCAGATCCTAAATCCTAAACCCCCGCACCCTGGACCCTGCTACTACTTCTATTATTACCATTATGATGACGACGGCGATGACTACTTCTACCTCTACTCAACGTCTAAACCTACATAACCTTAAACCATAAAGCCTATGCACGACTACCGAGGTTCGACCTTCTGAATCGGCGGGCCTCGAAGGTAAAGTACTTCTTCAGGTTCTTGATGATCATCACCTTTCAGGGTTCAGGGGTTTAGGGGTTTCGGGTTTAGGGTTGAGGGGTTTAGGGGTTTAAGGGTTTAGGGATTCCGGTTTTAGGGTTTGCAGGGGTCCAGGAGACTCTCAAGCCCAAGCCCTTGCTTGGCGAACATTATAAATCTAGCGGCGTTGATAATTCGACTCGGGCTTTGGGGGTATGCTATAGTATCAACTCAAAAATGAGCTCCAAGGGGGACCGTATTGCCAGTTTCTATCCCTTAGCACCAGCATAGCCCAAAAGCCTTCTGTAATAGGGTCCTCGGGCCCAAAAGCCTTAAACATATGCGTCCTTTGAGGGTAAGGGTATATTCATGCAGGCTTCTCCATCCCTAAACCCTAAGCCCTAAACCCTAAACCCTAAAGCATCAACCCTAAGTGGTAGAGGGACCCTTGGGCTTACTAACCCCGAAACCCTAAACCCTGAACCCTAAACCCTAACCCCTAATCCCTAAACCCTCTGCTTTGTATCAAATTCGCTTTGCAACCTGAGCCCTAAACCTTCCTTGTCCAGTAGCTCAGAGGAACTACAGGCTAACCTTTGGGGGGTCTTTCGGGCTTGTAATGTCACCCTGTAGGCCTCTCAGGACTCAGATTCTAAGGCTTTTGGGCCCAAGGGCCATACGTTGAAAGGCTTTTGGGCTATTTTGGGGGCTTATAACATTACAAAAATGTTAAGGGTAACCTACTCAACGATTCAGAAACCCTAAAGACTAGAGGCTCTGTATCCATTACGCAGGTTGGCTGAGGCCTGTGGAATGGATTTAGGGTTTAGGGTTTAGGGTGTAGGGCTTTGGGTTTGGAGTTTAGGATTTAGGGTTTAGGATTGAGGATTTTAGGGTGTCTTGCGGTTGAGGGCTTGGGGGGGGGCTTTAAAGGTCTCGTTCTGGCAGTTCAGGGCTATAACTTTACGGGTTCCATACGGGTTCTCTAACCCTGAACCCACATCGTACTATAGTATACTTTTATTGCGGACCTTACTACTATAATATGTTATAAACTTATGACACATGATACACTATCACTATAACGTACCAGACGACACTGTAGAGTGGTACTTGGAGTTGCAATGCACCCCAAATGAGTCTATACAATCGTCTACACTATATCCGTATAACCCTAACCCTCCAAGGACTCATATGTTAAGGCTTTTGGGTCCAAAGACCCTGTTATATAAGGCTTTTGGGCTATTTTGATGCTAAGGGCTGTACTGTAGAATACCGCCGAAATCCCCGGCCTGGCACTCACACGTCCGAACCTACTGTTGACGATATAAATCCTTAGCAATATTATAAGGACCCTAAACTATGGGAATTTATTCTGTATCTTTGGGGGTACTGCAGGATTTATGCCATCCACCGTAGTTGATGATTTCCCTGGCGACATCAGGTTGACTTTCTAAATAGGGTAACCCTAATATAGCACCCTAAATAGTAGGATCCTTATTATAAGGACCCCCCAAAATAAGGTACCCCCAGTTGTCGGAAAGTCCCATATCTGTTACCCTAAACCCCTAAACCCCTAAACCTTAAACCCCTAAAACCCTTAAGGGGTACCCTAGTTTTCGGAAAGTCCCAGGTTGACTTCGGGGTGTCTTGTCGAAACCCGACTAAGAAGCCCTGGGTCGAGACCAGAGACTCCCAAACCCCCTCAATTGAGGAATATACCTTTTAAAGGGTTCCTTAAAGGGATCTATAGGGTTCCTTAAAGGGGTTTATAGGGGTTTAAGAAATGGACCTTAAATCTTATTAGGGTTCCTATGATAATTTAAGGGTATATTCCTTAGTTAAAGGCTTTTTTGGAGTCTCTGGGCTTCATGAAGGTTTGAAGAACGGCTTCATGGGAGTTCGGGGTTCAGGGACTAGGCTTTGGGAGTTACGGTTTAGGTCCTAAACCCTAATAGCCTAAACCCTAAACCCTTAAAAACGCTATACAAACCCATGCGTCTTTAACGGGGGTGGGGGCCAGCTGCAAGTTTCTGTATTCTACGGTTTCAAATGGCTTTCTGTCAGATCTGCAGGATCGGTGTAGGGTTTAGGGTTTAGGGATTAGGGGTTAGGGTTTAGGGTTTAGGGTTCAGCGTTTAGGGGTTTAGGGTTTAGGGTTGACGCCGGCACTGCGAATATCGGCGTTCCGAAACTCGTTTATTTCACCAATGCATGTTAAATCTTGTGACAGATTCCCTCCCCTCCATAGCTCAAGATACTGTTGATGATATAAATCCTGCATTACCTTAAGGACCCTAAATTATGGGAATTATGGTATTTTCCTTATTATGGGTAATGCAGGATTTATATCATCAACCGTATGTATCTTGGTCAATGTGTGTTTTGGAGTCTCCGGGTTTTGGATGCTTCAGCAGGGGTGCATCTTGGCGGGGAATGTATCAAGCAGAGCTTGTATTAAAAACTCTTCGTTTGTTGAATTCAATTGTGGGGTATTTTTTGGTTTATCGGGCTAACATAGAGTTGAACATATTTTGCAAAGGGTTTAGTATTATTGGCTGCAGCCTTAAAACAAGGAACAGAAACCCTGCGCCACATCGGCCTATCATTGTACAGCCTTTATGAAAGTTTAGGCTGGGTAACTAGCTCTAAATTCAGCTGTTGGAGTGCGGGATTCAACGAATGCGCGCATAATTCAGGAGATAATCCTCTCGAAGAATCGACTTTGTGCTTGCCTTTAGAGCCGAAAACCTGTAAAAGTTCTGATGTGGATTTCAGAGCTTGCCTGATGGGTTGAAAGAACAAGTTCTGACTGTCCCGTCGCATCGGTTTGAGTGACGAGGCTATGCCAGAGATCGCGAGAAGCCCTCCAACACACGGGCCGTAACAATAATTCGAACAGGGATATGGGTGTACATTTTAAAGACAACTGTGGAACAACCTTGGCATTTGTCTGCATTGTGCCGAAGACCGCCAGAAGCCCTCTACGTGGGGTTGTCACTTCGCACGGGCAACCAGCAGGCCGCGCAGCACCTGTTTCGTCGATGCTTGCCATCAGCTGTCGGCACATCGCACTGTCCGCTCTCATTCAAGCCAAAGCAGACCAACTGACCATCTGATCTGATCGCACAGGTGTGATCTTTGCCTGCTGAGACTTCCACAACTGCTCCCAGATCTGCAGGCACATCACATTGTCCGAAGGTGTTATCTCCAAAGCAGACCAGTTGACCATCTGGTCTCACTGCGCAAGTGTGCAGGTAGCCTGCTGAAACTGCCACAACTGCTCCCAAATCCGTCGGCACAAAGTCGGAATTCAATCCAAAGCAGACCAACTGACCATCTGATCTTAGAGCACAGGTATGATGGTAGCCTGCGGAGATTGCCACAACTGCTCCCAAATCCGTCGGCACATTGCATTGTCCTTTGGCATTCAATCCAAAGCAGACAACCTGACCATCCGATCTCACTGAACAAGTGTGACGGTGGCCCGCTGAAACCGCTACAGCTGCCCCGACATTCGCCGGCACATCGCACTGCCCGTTGGCATTCAATCCAAAGCAGACCAACTGACCATCTGATTTGACTGCACAGGTGTGCCGGTAGCCAGCTGAGATCGCCACAACTCCTCCTAAATCCGCTGGCACATCGCATTGTCCGTAGGTGTTATCTCCAAAGCAGAACAACTGACCATCCGATCTCACTGAACAAGTGTGACCATGGCCTGCTGAGACTGCCGCAACTGCTCCCAAATCCGTCGGCACGTTGCATTGTTCTGTGGCGTTCCCTCCAAAGCAGACCAAATGTCCACTTGATCTCACTGCACAAGTGTGCATGTACCCTGCCGTGACTGCTTCTCCACATTCCGTCGGCACGTCACATGCTGTATTGGCGTTCAAACCAAGGCAGAACAGCTGACCATACCTGGAGGGTCATACCCTACCCCTTTTCTTCAAGGTACCTAGTTTTAAGGTTAGGATCTGTTCTATAGAAAAGTAGGCGCCCCCCAAAAAAAGGGTAGGGCATGAGCCTACAGGTA